TTATGATTATGTAGCTCATAAATAGAGAATGATTTAAAGGACAGTTTCTGTAGTATGGTTTAAGATCCATTTGGTACCTAAGTGTACAGTCATATATCATTTTCTCCCATAACTGAGTCTGGTGGCCAAGTAAAATGTGCTTCTCACAAGCCAAATCAGAGGGTATCACTGCCACATGTTGACTCATCTCCTTTGTTGTTTATACCTTTTCTTTTTGTCAGTTTCTAATATTCATAACATGGAAATGCTAATTTTTGTCTTTCATCTAAATGCTGCCTATTAGATAATTGTTCTCATGTGGGTAAAATGTTGTTTCATGTTGACAAATTTCCTGGGATTTGTATGTGTTTAGGAAAAAGTTCATCAAGCATTGAGTCAAACCTACTGTGGATGAGCGAAATTCATACATGATAGCTAGGGACAGTACCTGAACAATTTATGGGATCTTTACTTCTCCTTCTACAATGAAGGTCGTTTGGTAGAGTGTATGAGAAGAATGTGAAACGGAGTGTATTAGTAATGCTTGCATTAGTTATATATAGATTATTTTTCATGTATTATTTGGTTTCATGTATTAAAAATAGAGTAAATTTTAGTTTTAGCAAACATAAAAATCATATTTGTATGCTATAGCTATAGTTTGCATAATTGCGCTTCATAACAAATTTTATGTTTGCTATGGAGCATCAGATCTGTATAAAAATTGTTGGCACCTGATTTGTATAAATCGGGAGTGTGTTTATGAAAATTGCATTTGTATATGTATATGTTTATGTTTGTATATCTACATAAAATTTGAATTTTATACAATTAAATCGAAATAAAATATTTGTATATCAAATCTCTTTCGCTTTATACAACACAAATTATACATTGTAATTTGTATAATTTGTGTTTGTATTAATTATAAGTGTATAGGATGAAAGTATATGTATTTGTATATATAGTTTTCTCTCGCTTTATACAAATGCAATTTATACATTTGTGTTTGTATGAAGTGAGAGAGGCAAGTGAGATTTCTGGGGAGAGGGGCGAATGACAAGTGTTTATTACAGATTAGAATTAAATGAAACTGTGGTTATAACATTTAATTTGAATTAATAGTTTGCTATTTTATACAACTTTTCCTTAAAAATAGCATGCATTGTATAAAAAAATTTATTTACAAAGATATCTTCCATGATTATAGTGGAAAAGATGTAAAAAGGGTTTTAGGGGTAATTGGATCTTTAATTATGTTATTACACGCATTAAATCTCTTTGTATTACTAATACTCAGAAATGCATGGTATTAGTAATACACACCTTAATACACAATTGAAGTATTATTATATATAGCATAAAAAATGTACCAAACAAGGTATTACTAATACACAAAGTTAATGTATGCAATATTTTATCATATATACTCCACCATACTACTCTTAAAAATTTTAGCAATAAATAGAGTAATGCTATTATTATATTACTCTTTGAATATAATAAATTCAAAGTTTTAGGGAATGACTATAGTTATTAATAACGGAAAATGGCTTAAAATGCTCTTTAACTACGCAAATTGGTACAAAATTGTCTTCATCCACCTGATGTCAACCTTTTGACTCTTTTTTGCTCTTATCTTTAATGGTTTGAATTGATAACTCCAATCAATAAATTTATTAATAACGTGTCACTATCCTATTCGCATAGTCGAGGGTATTTAGAATTGAGCGGAATGCTAAGTACAATATGTTTGATGTTCTCTAGTTGGGGTAAAAAGAAAAAGGCAGATTTGGGAGCTTTTCAACTCCGACAGAAAATGTAGTTTATTTAGAAAAACGTAAATCTAAGTTTATTCAACGGTGACTAGTAATAGTTACTTTATATGTAAAATTAATCCTCTAAAATGGATTTAATTTTCCTCTTTTTCTTGTTCCAATGTAAATCTAGTCAAACTTCGACGGTTTTTTTTTCTTCTTCTTTTAGAAAAACCTTATCCAATATTATTACTAAAAAGTATTTTGAGACATTAACTTTATCAGCATGATTATTAATCCCCAGTCAATAAAATTCTGTTGCTAATGATGGAGGATCTTAGTTGATGAGTTGGATAAAGCAAAATACGTAGAATAATTAAATTAAACCTTCTTATTTAATGCTTATATTAACACGTCTTAATTTGTTATGGTCATGAAGATTAATTTAACAAGAAAAAAATACGAAATACTTCGATTATTAGGAGGAAACAAGTGATTGCTTTTGTTTCTTCAGATTATTATATATAGTAATAAATAAAATAATCCCAACAATTTTTTCTTCTTTTGGGCTGTCGATTCATGTGACGTTCGTTTTGTGCATTAGGGGACATTCTTTCGGCAAGTGTTTTCTTCTTTAATTAAGTGGAATTATAAAATATTATATTAAAGGTCGGAATTGTTTATGTAATTTAATATTATTGATTAATTTTATAATTACGTCATTTTGAATGCATGTTCAAACTACTTTCCTCATTACATAAGTTAGAACCCTTTCATGTCCCTCTTTTTCTATGGGGTTTCCAATATGACAAAGTTCGAATACTAATGATTATTGTTGAGTTAAATAATATTTGGGCATAGTGTGAACAATGAGACACATATAAAATAAAATAGAATATATAAAACTATGTTTTCTTTTTTATATATACTACTATATAATAGAATGAGGTTTGAATGCATGAGGGGAAATGAATTTTTAATTTTAAAACAATGCTATATTGCATTCATACTAATCCAAAATACATTATTACCTTTTCATTGAATTGGATAATCTACTACATACTATATTAGTTACTATTTTTTTTAAAGTATTGTTTGATTGGACAAAAATGAACATGCAATTCTACCAATCCAATTCAAATATATATTGTAAGTTGAAATTAGAAAGACAAAGAGGAAAACTTACGAAGAACAATAATGAAGATGAACAAAAATTCCATGCGAGTTCAAGTAGTTCAATTGTTTGATTATCTAAATATTTACTTAGTATTTTATTGGTAAGAGTTTGATTTTGCACCTTATAATATACTCGTTCATTTTTCCTTCCTCTACTTTTTTTATAAAAAAAATAAAACGTCGAAAAAGGGGAAAGCAAAGCACCAAAAGATAGATTGATGGAAAGGAAAAGCAATAGTGGAAGAGAGGGAATTTTAATGACAATGACAATAGACTGCAACAAGTGATCCTTGCCACGTCGGATCTTTTCATTCACGTGGCAAAAGTAGGCCCCATCACGACACCCTTCTCTTTATTTTTCCTCGCCGATTCCTGCATAAGCTATATATCATAGATATGAATGAATCCAGGGAGTGCTTCTCCCCCTCCTCCAAATGCAAATATATACTAGTTGGACTTCAATTTAGATACAGAGAGAAACAAAAAAATAATCATTAATTTCATTCATATATAAACAAAGGAATTTCGTTTTATATTAAATAAATTTAAAATTTTCTCATTTCGAATTAAAATAACAAAAGTAATCATACATTACAGAAATTTCAAAGTAGAATATTAGCTAGCCTCTTATAAGTATTTCATCCATTGCCAAATTTGATAAATTGTGAATTGTGATGGAAATATTTATAGCAATGTCTCATCAATCCTATAGAAATTAAATCGACTAATACTATGTATTATTGTAGTAATATTAAAATTAATAAAGATATTAGAGAATTGTGTTTAATTAGGCGATGAATTGTCGGTAGATCGGCGAGGAGAGGGAGCGGGGAATAGGCATTAGGCATGTGAAAAGAACATTCTTAGCAGATTGGCAGTTACGAAAGCCGCCAATACAGTTTCTCTTTCTTCTTCTATCAAAAGAAAAGAAGAATTGTCTTTCTTGCAATTACACAAATACCCCCCTAGCTACTACCCCTATACGTATATTGGTTACCTCTACTAGCCAAATACCGAATGGACAAATCTGAAGCATAGAATATTATTGTAACTACCATGTATAAAATTAAACACGACACACATATATATATATATATATTGTGGTTGAGCGGATTCAAAATATAAAGAAGTAAATATATGAAGTTGAACAACTAGAATTAGACGACATTCTAGTTGAAACTGAACAGAATAATTGAAGTTGAAAAAAAAAAAAACAATTTGTAGAAAATTTTAACTAGTTATTTGGACATAAACTTTAAAGAAATTGTTACAAAGTTAAAGATTTGGGAGCAAAGTCTAACATATTATCTTGAATACACCTCTTTATACATAGTTCAAGTAATGAAGTTTTGTATTTGCAAATACATATTAAAATGAAATTAAGTACTAGTTACAAATGTTGAAACTAATATATGTCAACGCATATATACTGTATATAGATAATATACATGCATACCTACCTATTAAATTATCTACTATTTTGAAAACACTGACTCCAGCAATTTTTATGTGCATTCTGAGAAAGATTTAGATACTGCTTGTGCGAGCCAAGAATATATTATTAACGGCTGTGATGAAATGATAAATAATTACTTAATTGAGAATAATTCTTGGGCAAGCCTCACAACTTGATGGTCATGTAACAATCATGATATTTATTGATATGCTATTGCCTTGTTTACTAATATCAAAATTAGAGATTGCGATTCAAACTTCGACGTAATAGATAGCGTTTTATCCCTCATAATGAATTTTTTTTCGTATTAATCAAACCGCAAAGAATATATAATAAGAAAGCACATAAATAAAGGGGAGTTTATACTATATTGTTAATTTGAGCTTGAGAGGAAAGATAAGTAAAGCTATCATTTGATGTGAAAAAACAAATTTAAAGGCAAAAGTAGCTAAAGGTAGGGGTGGCAGCCACCCTATTTGCTTTTTGGACTTACTTCTCTTTTTGTCTTGTTATCATAAAAACCCTCCCATCCAATTCCTTTCAACTTCCTCATCTTCCTTCTCTAACTGTTGAGTTCCCCTCTCTTCTTAATTTGGATCTTCCTCTTCAATCAATATTGCCAAATTAGGAAAAAAAAAAGAAAAGTTGAAGAGAGAAGTTCCAAATTAGGAGTATATATATATGGCACCTGTTTCATTGCCACCTGGTTTTAGATTTCATCCCACTGATGAAGAACTTGTGGCTTATTATTTGAAAAGAAAAATCAATGCCAAGAAAATTGAACTTGACATCATTCCTGAAGTTGATCTTTACAAATGTGAGCCATGGGATTTACCAGGTACCTATATGTATAACTCTTTTAATTCTTTTGATTTTCTCTAGTGGAACCAAAACATAAATAAATCTTGACTACACTATATACGCACACCTTGTTCACATAATTTAATTTATGTGTAATCAATAATTATATGAAAGGAAAATAAATTACCATGTGCAACATGCACGTTATAGCTTAATTTTTTGTGTAATATTAGGCTTCTATTTGTCGATAAATAAATAAATAAATTGATAATTGTGATGTTCGGATCAGCTTATCATAGAAGCTATAATTAAAGACTATGTCCATTCATTTTGAAGGTGTAGAGAAACGAAAAGATATTTAATTAGCCAAAAAGATTTAGCACAAAGTGATTGTCAAGAAAGGTATATATAACAAAGATATTACCAATCACTGTTTCCTTAATTAACCATGTGTTTATTAATTTTATAACAATAAATGTTTGGCAGTGTCCATTAATTACTTTATTTTTATAAAAATAATGGAATGATCAAGGGATATTTTTTCTTCTTCTTTCTAGTTTGAGTACGTAAAAATGAAAATGAAAATACTTGCAAGATAATTAAATCCATATAGTAATTCCATACGCGTGCTTAATGACTAATAGGTTCTGATTATTGACACTTTGCATCACACTTTAACAGTCAAATTAAAAATCATATGCTTTATTATAAAAATATATAAATGTTTTAAAGGAAGTTGGCCCCTACATCTTTTGATCTTCTATTGAATCTTAAAGACTGTCCTTTGTTATTTCGATGATGATTTATTGAAGTCAAAAGTCAGTGTTCAAAAAGAAAATGACATGATTGCAATATTGTTTTATTTCATCAGTTGCAACTCTTTTTTTTTTTTTTTTTTCCTTTTTCCCTTTATCAAAAAAAATTATTTTAATCCCTTTGATGATTACCATGTTTGAAGAATCTCTTTCACGTCCTTTTCAGTTTTCATTTTTTGTCAAAATTTTCATATACTCAATCATTCTTCAATTCCCAAGAAGATCTCACTTTCATAGGCAGATTTTAAAATTATTTTGAATTTACTTGGTGAAAATTCTGACTCATATCATCGCTCACTACAGGAAAGTCTCTATTGCCTAGTAAAGATCTAGAATGGTATTTCTTCAGTCCCCGTGACCGTAAATATCCAAATGGATCAAGGACAAATCGGGCAACGAAAGCTGGATACTGGAAGGCGACGGGGAAGGACAGGAAAGTAAATTCACAGACAAGGGCAGTGGGGATGAAGAAAACATTGGTGTATTATAGAGGGAGAGCACCTCATGGAGCTAGAACTGATTGGGTTATGCATGAATATCGATTAGATGAACGTGAATGTGAAGTTGCTAATGGCTTGCAGGTAAACAAATATAATTCCTAACTAATCGATTTTACTAATATTAGTGACAGATTCAGAATTTGACAGAATACATTTGATCTACATATATATTCCCTTTAATATAAATCTACGTTAAATTGAACCAGACCTCTAATTATAATTTGACTTGAAATACTATACACAGGATGCTTATGCACTTTGCCGAGTAATAAAGAAGAATTTGAATATCAATGGTCCAAAAATAGGGGAGCAGCAGTATTATGGTAACGCAGCAACAAGTGATAGATCATCTAGCGTTGATCATGTTTACTCTCATGATGGGGGAAGATCATGTCATGATATGATGGAAAGTTCTCATGGATTAATGCCGTCATCATCATCATCCACAATATCCATGGCTGTGCATGGACGAAGCTCTCCAATTAATAATAATGTTTCTGCTCCAAGTGATGGTGATGATGATAAATGGATGCAATATTTGTCAAATGAACCTAATTTTACTATCAACAACAGTCTGCAGCCCATTCCAAATTATGGAACATTGCCATTTCCCCCATCTAAGGTATGTAATGTCGTCGATCGTCAACATGCTAAATTTGTTACTGTAGTTTAATTTAATATCATAATTTTACTATATAAATATGGTATTACAATGAAAAGTCACCAACATGTGGGGGGCATATATACTGCATAGTAACTGCCCACACCTTCACTCTAATGGTAGAGGTTCGAATCCCACTAGGTTTAATAGTGTAAATCTTTTTTAAAGTACGTTAGTGAGTGACAGTCTAAAAAGATAACATCATTTTACATGTTAGTACATAGTCTTGTTATTTAATTTATAGATCGTTACTTACTTAGATGGTCTGATAGTGTAAAATTTCTATTATTAAACGATATATATAAGTTAAAAGTCATTTATATATACTTGTTCAGGTTGATATAGCATTAGAGTGTGCAAGGTTGCAACACAGATTCACATTACCTCCATTGGAGATTCAAGACTTCCCTCAAGTTGGCAGCTATGTTGATCATGCAAAGATGCCTCAATCAAGTTTTATCCATCAAGCTTCACAAAATCATCTAATCAATCAAGATTATACATCCTGTGCTCCTAATATTGATGATGACTTCTCTTTCCTAATTCCTCTTAATAATAATAACCAAATCCATCATCACGGTGATTTGGGTTCATTCAATATGATGGAACAAGATGAGAATGTAATTAGGTCCATTGATATTGGAGATTTTGATCATCATCAAGACTTTAAATCTGATAGAATGGTGGAAAATTTGAGATGGATAGGAATGTCAAACAGGGATCTTGAGAAGGTAATAAATTTATTAATCTAACTAGTAATATACTAATTAATTAAACCGCAATTAATCCCTTAAATCTAATTTGTGTTATGGATTTACTAATTTTTATTTTGTACTTTGACAGGCATTTCTTGAGGACTATAAAACTGTTCCACTAGAAAATGTTTCAGCTGTTCACATAGAAGAGAATGAGCTTCAAGGTATTATATAGACTCCCCTATATATATATATGTATTCCTTTTCAGTTTTATTGCTCTCTTCCATTTTATATAATATTTTTTTTGTTTTTTTATTTTGTTTCAAAACAAGAAATTTGCACCTTATTAGTTTCTATATTTGAATGTTATTTAATTTTGGATGTCTCATTTTATTCTTAATGAACATGTTTTATAGCTATAAAAATATCATAGGTAGAGCTAGGATCTAAACTAGGACTTAATTCAATAGACCTCTTATTATAGGTTCAAAATTCAACATTTGCTTTAAGTTCTACTAGTACTTATTCACATAGTGCCTCTGAATATCTATTATGATATGTTTAAAATCATCACAACTCCTAATTAATACTAGTAAATCTGGTATGTAAAACAATTTTTCTTTATGTCACATATCCTCATATAAAATAAAATGACGCAAAATAAATAACTTTTTTTTTTTTTTTTTACTGTTAAGTTTCTTTGTTGATATATCCTAGATTACAGGTGAAAACAGTGGTCATAGCAACAGCTTCATTAATGGATTCAATGAAACAGAAGCAAACAACTTCTCAATAGGATTTGACAACTTTTTGGATAATGATGTTTTTTCAAATTCCCCAAGCTTTGAAGTGTGTGAAAAAGTTGAAGTGAATCATGGGTTTTTTATAGCTACTAGGCAAGCATCCAAGACATTTTATCATCAAGTGACACCTTCTAGGACACTTAAAATTCATAAAAACCTAGTTCCACTCCATGATTTTCCCAAATATTCAATTAATAATTTTGTCACTAGACCATGGACAACAACTATGAGAACTTTGGTTGCAATTTTACAAACTTTTTGGATCTATTTTGGTGAATGTTTGGAGTTGGAGGCAAAAGGTTTCAAATTGGAAGACAAGAAGGGTGTTTATGAAGAATATTGCTTAATAGAGAGGGTGGAGAAGAAGATCAAGAAAGTTCAAGATTATAAATGGGATTTTTATAAGCAAAATAAATTCCCAATTGGTGACAAAGAAGAAAAAGGGATCAAATATTGTTGCAATGTGGAAAAAAAATGGCCTAATTATCTTACACTTGTAGTTGCTCTTTCTAGCATTTGGTTGCATCATATTATTGTCCCTTCATTTTGACTTCTTTTTTTTTTTTTTTTTTTAATTTCACATCTAAACAGTTTGTGGTATTGCTAACTATAGTTGTGTTGGGGAAGACCTAATTTTAAGAGCCCCCCTAGAATTAGATACCAAAAACATAAAATGTACTTTTTTTAATTTCTATATCAAATTATACTTTAATAGTGAGTTTTTGTTTTCTGAATTAGTCATGATTTAATGTTTATCTTAATTTTGAGCTGACAAAGTGTTCATCAACTTGTTTCATTCCCTGTATTTATCGTGAACTAATAAATGTGGAATCTTCAATCGTGAACATTGCGATAAGAAAGGAGCCAAGTCTTTTTCCTAGACTAAGATGTAAATTTGATTTAGTCAGATCATTGAATTCCGAAAAAGAAAGATATGTGGTGCTATTCATTGAATACCTTAGAGTTTTGCAAGTGGAGAGTTGAATGTTCACGCTTAGAACTGTTGAGCCTGTGAAAATATAGCAAAGATGAGACTTAAAGGTAGCAAAAGCATCAAACTCCAATTAACATGCTCAAGTGTTTTTGCTTTTGTTTGGTTTCTTTTTGTCCTCATTTATTTCTTCTTTTTACCTAAAAGTGTCTGTCCAATATTGTACTTGTACATTCAACTATTTATGCTTTTTGTCAGTCTCTTCACGTTTTTCTTGTTTATCTTTTTTTTTCATGCACTATTTTTACTTCCATTACTTCTTGTTTGTTCTCCCAATAAAGTCTAAATGATTACAATAAGCACCAAGTTTTTGTTTTGGCTCTCTAAGATCTTTAAAAGCAGAATATATATATCTCTATTTGAATTTACTTTTCCCCAATTGTAATATGGATTTTAAATTATATCATATAGTAATTTGATTTCCAATAGTGCGGGGGAGGGGTGTGTGGTAAGTACAGTTTGATATAATTCGATACTTCTAATCTAAATTTATATACTTAATAAATTTTGAAATTCTTAAACTTCAAATTTTAAATCTGTTTCTACCAAATAGTTAGTTAGTATACTTTTGATTACTCAGATAAGATGAAAGAAATATAAACTAACATCTTTTGTTTGAAATATCATTACTCCTATCTCACAAAATAATCCTTCTCATAATTTCTGATCATGTATATATATATGGAAAATGCAAATGTATGTAACACACAATGATGGGTAGACAATGATTGAGTGATAATTTAGTTCGCGTACCAAATGACTCCTAAATATTTAAAAGATTATTGTATAAAAGGAATTAAGGAGGTGGCAAGATGGTAATGGACAGCACATGATGGATGCTAAAACAGTAACAAGATTTTGAGCACTTTAGAACAAATAAGAAAACATATAGAAACAAGATGACAAAAACAAGTCTAATATTTTCGGTATACTCACGGGTCACATAAATTGGAAATAACCAGTAAAAAGAACTTATACTTAAAAGGTACAGTCCTTTTTTCACATGCCAACATTACTGAACTCAAATAATTCATAACCCCAAATTCAACTGTTTCTGTGAAGTATGTCCCCACCCTCCACTACCTACTTTAATATTTGAATCTATGATAACCGATTAAATTACACTGATAGACTAGACTGATTATATTTTTAGAAAGGATTATAAGTGTTAGCATTTCTTTCACCCTTTCACTCAATCCCCTAGCCTAATTTTGTCATTGTATGTACCATAAATATGTATTTACTCTCACATTTTTCTACTAATTTGTATGTGGTGCAAATTTTGTTTGTTTTGTTGTGGTGCATCCAGAGTTTAGAGTATGCAAATGCAGCAACTCCAACAGTGAAAGTTGGGAATATATCAAAAGTGGGAGATTCTGCATATTTTAGGATATACTATGGACAAACCTTCAAGGTTATTAAGAACACACTTGATGGAAAGAGTTATCTTCTTATCCAGGTAAGAACATTTATTTCTAGCTTTTTTATGCCATGAAAGAGATTATGTAATTGTTATTGTATAGTTCATTGCTAGAACGTACAGGCTCTGGAAAGAAGTAGGATTTAAGTTATATTCACTGACAATGTCCGTGTAGATTTAAGTTATAATAGTAGTTTATTGTTACCAATTTTAATTGGGTGAAATATTTTTCACACCTTCAGTCTTGTTTGAAATTTAGGTAGAACTGTATAAAAAAAGATGAAGTTATTTCAGGGCTAGAATTACTTGAAAAGAAGATGATAAGGGTTGTTGGACCACAAAACTTGGACCTTAGAAGTAGTAGGGTCAAGAATATTTTTTTAAAAAGAAAAAGAGTTATACTTCTTTTCATTTGGTCCTCTGTAGTTGACAATCCAAGAACTCACAAAGTACTTCTTGGTTGCTGAATTCCATGGCACAAGTTGCTTAGTTTTGAACTTTCCGTTAGTATTGTTTTCTTGGCTAATGATCAATCTGCAGAAAAAAAAGAAGTAAAAGTGTCACTACCTACAGCTACATTGTTCTATTGATCAATGAAGTCATGAATTAGCTCGTTTTCGTCTTCTTTTTTTTTCCCTTTTTAGGAGAAGCCAGGGGATTTTACAGCCATGTATAAGAGCATACCTTTGACAGAACCAAAACTTATAGAGAGTAAAGATTCCTTGTTTTAAAATTCTTTCAACTAGATATATATATTTATCCGCAACAGGGACAGAGGGGGTTCATTGCTGGAATATGCATATATAGTGATTTTGAACACCCTTGGTGCCCGCGTTAATATTGGAATCTAGAGCTGGTCATCTACTATAACAAAATGCTTTTGTGTGAATTCCAGCTAGTTGCAAGTTCTTAGTTCTTTTGTGATCTAAGAATACGTGATACAACCTTGGGAGAACCATCTCTTTAAAGCTAGCTGTGAATGTGGGAGAGCCCAAGGCTATATAGCCACATGCCCACACCTTTAAAGCTAGCTATTAAGGTGGGGGAGACCAAGGCTATATGAGCCCCGCATCAGCTCTTTTAACCAAAGTCCCCTACCTTGCAATAGGATCATAACAATATGATTCTAGAAAACCAATTCTCTCCTGATTTACTAGAATGCAAATTTTGTGCAGAACAACACAAGAATGGCCAGTAGAACAAAATATTGCACCTCAAGAATAAAGTCTTTTGTTATCCCACTAGCAAACTACTCAATTGAGACTGACAACTTTTTTCCAGGTACGCCATTTTAATCATCCTCCTTGTTTTTTTCCACTTTATAACATCATATTATAAGCTTTATATGTCTTTTTGGTACACGTGGATAACTTGTGCACTGACCGTTTCTCTTTTTCCTTTTCTTTCTTTCCTTCAATTCACAGTTTCCTTTTTCGAGGTAAGAATGCACAGTTTTAGTAACTATTCTGATAGCTGTATTACTAGATTGAAAAATTTTGCATGGAATATTTCAGCTACTAGGCCTACTGGGAAACTTGAAAGGCATTACATCAACATATGTGGCCTCCCAATGTGTACTAAAACTATACCAGGACGGACAAGTGGAGAGCATCAACAAGACTGACCATCAACAACTTGCACAATATGCAGCTCACTTCATCGCCAACACGGATGAAGCTCAACCCTGCAACTTTGCCACATTTGTCCCTATAGGTGAAGATGCACCTCTCCAGGTACATAAGGGACTAAAGATTTAACACACTCTGACTATGCACTTAAGTTCTTTCTATTTCATGGAGCTTTGCTTTGATCTCTGGTTGGATGGTTACACGCAATTTGTACTACTTTGACAGCGTGCAGAGTGGATAAAATACTTGGGAGTTTTTGCGAATATGGAATACAGGGCAAACCAAGTTTACGATGCAGTAAGTGAAGAAATGAGACATCCTCAGTTTCCAATATGACGACAATAGTTAGAAGAATTTCTTGTTTATTTCGGATTCTGCTTCGTTTGTGGACAGATTAAGGAGAATTATTTGTGCTTGAGCAAAGCTGCAACTAGTAGGAATTCATTAAAACCAACTGTCTCTTGGATGGAGTATAAAGATGTGTGTACACCGACTCGTGAACCCAACTTTTTTATAAAAAATCATTTGTTTTGCAGTTTCCCTTTAACATACACCTATTTTCTTGTATAGGGAGTGTGGTCATTTACAAGAGATTCATACAAATTAAAGGTTAGATTTTTCTTACTTCCAAGTTTCAACAGTTCTTTTTGATCATTTTCTCGAGTTTAGCTATATTGATTTGATAATGCAGTTTGTAGAGGATGCTGGTGGAGTCAATGTTGATGATTCCATCAACAAAGTCACATACAATATGTCTAATCCTGATGATTTGGAAGAGATTCATGCCATTTTGTGTGTATGTTAATTCACTCATCTGATCATTTAAATTATCAATATGTCAATCTTCTTCCACTCATTTGTTTTTTTGTTTTGTTTTGTAGACTGTGGATGTAGTGATTGATGAAACATATAGCTCAGATCCAGCGGTTTATAATGGCTCCACATTTCTCGGAAACATCAATTTGGAAGATCAAACTTGCTTTGCTTTTCTCACAAATCAAAGCATATGGAGATATGATAAAAGAGTGCAAAATTCTGTAGTCCTCGGTAGGATTCTCTTCTTGTTTCTGCATAATCAAGGCTTTTTTTATCAAAGATTATTTGGAGTTGAATGCATAATCAATTTAATTAGGAAATAACTAGTAGTAATAGAGAACCTTGTTTTCTATTATTTCTGGGACTGATAGTGTTCACCTTTTGCTTGTTGAAGACTGGTATGATGGAGCTGTCTCTCAACCACAACTGGTCCTATCAGATATTATTGAAGCTTTATATCCTACAGGAAATTATAACACTACATATTTCAGAAACATCGCAAAGGTATGACAATTTTGCATACAATTACAAGTTCGATTAACTTCTACACAATGACAAACTTTTTACACTATCCTGTCACCTAAAAATGAAAAATCCAAAACAAGACATATTACCTGCCACAACACGTCAAAGAAGGAACTGAAAGTCACTCTAACATTCTGGCTGCATGTAAACTATTGCAGGGAGAAGGGATCATAAGCATTGGTCCT